GCAAGTCAATTAAAGAGAACGAACAGAAAAATATAGCAAATCAAAATATAGCAAATCAATGACACTATCATTTACATATCGGAGTTTCACAAAATAGAGGAATGGGATGAGAACAATACTACAATATTATATATGAACAATGAATAATAGTTTCGTATTATTAGCAGAGAAAAAATGGAGAAGACAGGAGCATAAAAAAAAAATATGAAAAACTCACTTGAAAATTTTTGAAAAGTCACTTCAAACAATCCTTCAAAATTCGATGGGTTTGGATATGACTGTTTTATGAATTTGGTATTTATAGATAACACTAGAAAGTCATTCAAAATCTCTCTCACACAACAATCCTTTAAAATCCTTATATTTTTGAATACCAATGGATTGTTTTTAAGTTGTAAAAAATCTCAAATGAATACCAATGGATTTTAATGGACTCTTTAAAAAATCTTGAAAATCCAGATTGAATACCACTGAATTATTTTTAAGTGATTAGGATTACCAATGAATTTTTTTACTCAAAAAAAATCTTTTAAAATCCTACGAAATCCTAAACCAATACACCCCCCTAAATTCCGGGCAACCATTTTTGTTTTTTGTTTTTTGTTTTGTTTTTGTTTTTGTTTGTTTGTTTGTTTGTTTGTTTGTTTTTTTTTTTTTTTCTGTTTTTCGTTTTTCATTTTTATTAAATAATAAATTAAATTTATAATAAAACTCAAAATTTAAATAATAATTAAATAATAAAGAATATTTATAATAAAATTTAAATTTTAAAAAGTTAATTACTTATAATGTTAATAAATAATAAATTTAATAAGATATTTTTATAATAAATTTTAAGTTTACTAAATAATATTTATAATAAGTTAAATTGAAATTAAAATTGGAGAAGCACAGAATTGGGGAACCAAATTCCGGTAGCGAAAATGAGCGACACCTGTGACGGTCAATTCCTAGAGAATCAAATTTTGAGCAAGAACAATAAACAACTGGGAACTGAATTTTGAGCGGGAACAATAAACAATGCTAGTTATATAAATAAATTGGCACAGATACTGTTTAGGTAAATTTTTTTAAAAAAAAATAATATTCCAATAAAAAAATTCCACTTATGTCTATGCTACACGAAGTTTGCTACGTCCTCTATACAAAACGTCAATGGTATAGACTTTTTGCTTTTTATTTTTTATTTTTATTATTATTATTATTATTATTATTATTTATCTCTTAAAGCATAACGTTGATGACTATGACGTTTTTCTATTCTTTCCCTCTTATGCATAAAACGTCACATATGGTAACGTTTTCTTGATTTTCTCTTCAAAATAATTTATTTTGGTAAATAGGTTTTTTAAAATTTATTTCAGTAATTTTTATTTTATTTTTATTTATTGTGGCCAAAATGCCTATCTTTTCTCACACTAATACTAATAATACAAATATTTTTTATACTATTATTTATTCAGTAATATATATTGCTATTATGTGTTATAAAATTAATGAATAACTTTTGTCGTATTTAAATATATATTTCAATTATTTTATTGTTTAAAATCTTTTAAATTGATTAATGCATGGATATTAACTACAAAGTATCCCTTGGACCTTGATTTTTTTGGCAATGTTTCTCTATAAATATGTGGTTTGTAGAGCACAACTTCACTTGTCATCCCCTCATCAAAGCCCTTCCTCATGGCCATTTCTTCAATTTGGTTGTTGGCTATGCTGTCCTTCCTTCTTGGAAATGGCGTTTCTCATACTGAAACCTCCAATCAAACTCTTTCTTCCACTTCTAGTTTAAACCAAACATATAGACCTTCTTTTCACTTCCACCCTTCCAAGAATTGGATGAATGGTACTTGGTTTTTATTAACCTCACAATGCTGTTGTTTGACTCTCTTTCCTTAATTAATTCTATCTCTAACTTTTTCTTTTTGCTCTTTCCTTTTTGACATGATATGCTGAAATGGACCTGCGTGCAGATCCTAATGGTTAGTTCAACTCTCTTTCCATCCATTTTCATTTCTCAAGATTTATATATATAAAAAACAACTTAATTCGGTTTCTAAATTTAATTATGTAAGCAAGTTAGTGTCTAAAATATCAATACTTGCATTAACTTAATCCAATAAAATAGGAAGGGGGTGGCTGAATTAGTGAATTACTATGAAAATTTTAATACAAGAATTAATGAAAATAGAATATAATATAGAAACAGAAAAAATAAAAGTTACTACTATTTCTTGTACAATATTTTTAAAATGAAAATAAAATAATATTCTCTCATAAACAAATGATCCTTAAATTTTTCTAGGCAAGTGTTTTTCTTTCTGAATTTTTTCCTTAAAGAGTTCAGGTAAATGTATTAGTAGGTTCATCTCCCTCGTATATATGGAACTCTTGTCACTTTTAAACTTACAAAGCAAACCAAATTCTAGGAAACATATATAGCATTCTTTTCTATATTGATAAAATACAAAGACTAAAAATTTAGGTATCTCATACATTAAGCCATTATCATGCTGAACTATAATATTATTTGTTTTTTCTATGAATAATTGAGAGTACCAAACCAAATTAAAAAAAAAAATAAAAAATTGTACGTAATTTGATCAACATGAACTTGTATATATGTTAAATATTAAGTAGATCATATTGAAGAATTGAAGGGAAGAAAAATAAAATCCCATCAATTATGTGATGTGTGCCTATGACATAATTATGTTAAATATACTTTTGCTTGTTCATTAGGGCCTATGAGATACAAGGGACTCTACCATCTATTCTACCAACACAATCCAAAAGGTGCAACTTGGAGCAACAATAGCCTAGTATGGGGCCACTCTATTTCAAAGGACCTTGTGAATTGGTTCTCATTACCACATGCTCTCACCCCAACCAAACCCTATGACACTAATGGTTGTTGGTCAGGTTCAGCCACTATAGTTCCCCACCCTAGGGGCAAACCGGTCATTTTATACACAGGAATTGACCACAAGTTTCACCAAACTCAAAACATGGCTGTGCCCAAAAATGTTTCAGACCCATTACTTAGGGAATGGGTGAAGTCCACAAAGAACCCTATAATGGCACCCTCACTTGGCAACAAAATCAATACAACCTCATTTAGAGACCCCTCCACTGCTTGGCTAGGGCATGACAACTGGTGGAGAGTTATAGTAGGAGCCCAAGAAGGTGACAAGGGTATGGCACTTTTGTTCCTAAGCAAAGATTTTGTTAATTGGGTCAAAGCCAAACACCCTTTGTTTCATTCAGGCAAAAGATCAACAATGGGAATGTGGGAGTGCCCTGATTTCTTCCCTGTGTTGACCAATGGCTCCTTTGTTGGCCTTGACACGTCATTTGGGGGCCCTCACGTGAGGCACGTGCTCAAGGTTAGTGCTCTTGTTGGGTCACGTGATTGTTATCTTATTGGGACTTATGACACCACCAAGGATAGTTTTGTTCCTGACAAGGGATTTGAGGGGAGTGAGTCACTCCCAAGATATGATTATGGAAAGTTTTATGCGTCCAAAACGTTTTATGATGGTGCTAGAAAGAGAAGAGTCTTATGGGGTTGGATTAATGAATCTTCAGTTCAAGAGGATGACGTACAAAAAGGATGGGCTGGGATTCAGGTAACTTCAGGTTTCATTGGAAATTTCTTAGTACCATAAAAAGAATTACATCTTGAAGATAATTGTAAAATTTATATGTATTCAAAATATGGTTTTAATTGTCATACACAAATAGTATAAAAACTTTAAACAATCATCATTTTTGTATGATTTTGAAGATAATTGTAGTAAAAATTGATAAAATAATATAATTTGTGATTGAATAATAATATACAATTATTTTATATTATTGATATATAATATTTTTCTCTTGAAGTATTATATAGAGTAAATAGTGTATGTACAAAATGTTATGTAAATAACTTTTATATTGTCATTCAATATATAATAAATTCATTGGTATGTATGATAAGTTTGTTGACTTTAATAATAAGAGTTTATTTAGATATAAATTAAAAGTATTTTTAAATTAATGTTTCTTTACTAAAATATATAAAATTAAAGTATTTTTTTAGCAGAAAAATTTCTAAAAAATTTTAACCTTGTATTCGAACAGATTTTAACTTTTTTAAAAAATTATACTTATATTACAATTTCTAATTAATTGTTGTCAGTATAAAGAAAAATTTATTCTGATAGTACATAAAAATTATAGTAGCTTATGCCCTTATTAGAATGTTAATTCTTCAATTTCTTTGTGTTGGGTGTTGAATTATACACACACATATATAAATTATGAATTCTGTACAAAATTATAGCAGAAAGACCACTAAAGTTGGAAGTTAAAATGATCTTATTCAGCTCATGAATCTCACTTCCATTTAACCAAGTTGACACCAGTTATTTATTTATTTATTTTAACTAAATTAACATATATTATGTGCACATGAATTTGAAGGCAATTCCTCGGACTCTTTGGCTTGATAAATCTGGGAAGCAATTAATCCAGTGGCCTATAGAGGAAATTGAAAAATTGCGTACCAAGCCTGTCAACTTGCATTCCAGAATTCTTAAGGGTGGCACATTGCTTGAAGTTTCTGGAGTAACTGCAGCACAGGTGACTCATGAGTTTCTATTAAGTCTTATTAGTTTTAATGTTCGAAAACCAAATTTTCACACTTTTGAATGAAAAACAAATTTTTTAATTAATATAGGTATGTAGTTCTTTAAATTTAACCATACATATCATGTGACATAATTGACCAATAATCATATTTTTTAACTAAGTAGTCAAAAATTCAATCCTCAATTTTGTGTTAAAAATAATATATATGTTTAGAGAAATTATCTCCTTAAATGAATCTTAATATCACCGGCATCAATTGGTCTTTGGCACTCAACTATGAAATTAAGAGATGATATTTAGGGGGTGTATTGGTTAAGGATTTTATAAGATTTTAAAAGATTTTTTTTGAGTAAAAAAGTCTGTTGGTATTCAATTAGGATTTTATTTCACTTAAAAATAATTTAGTAGTATTCAATCTGGATTTTCAAGATTTTTTAAAGAGTCTATTAAAATCTATTAGTATTCATTTGAAATTTTTTACAACTTAAAAATAATCTATTGGTATTCAAAAATATAAGGATTTTAAATGATTGTTATATTAGAGGGATTTTGAAGGACTTTCTAGTGTTATCTATAAATACCAAATTCATAAAACAATCTCATCCAAACCCATCAGATTTTGAAGGATTGTTTGAAATGACTTTTCAACTGTTTCAAGAATTTTTGAATGAAATTTTCATTTATTTTTTTTCTATGCTTCTATCTTCTCCTTTTTTTAATCATATTTTTTAGCTAAGTAATCAAAAACCCAATCCTCAATTTTGTTTTAAAAATAATATATATGTCTAAAGAAATAATCTCCTTAAATAAATCTTATAATATCACAACAATCAATTGGTCTTTGGCATTCAACTATGAAATTTTGTGTTAAAAATAATATTTTAAAAAGTAATTCTTTGAAGAATATATGGAACTTGCTTCTTTAAAAAACAGAAAATTACTTATTTTTTTTAAAAAAAATAAATTTAGTCAAACACACACAAAAAAGTGCTTATTTTTATTTTAAAAAAAATACATTTTTATGAGAAATTTTTTTAAAACAAACGGATCAATATCTTTGGAAATCATTTGCAATTATGTAATGGGCATTTCACACATTTCAAAACATGAAATGGAGAAGTAAATGTAATGAGCATTTCACACATTTCAAAACATGAAATGGAGAAGTAAAAATTTGTGTTGTGATGTTGAAGGTAGGTTTAGTTGGTTTCAGCTAATAACCAAACACTTGTAAGAGTTTAATATGTACAAAGCCGACATATATATATATATATATCATGTTACAACAGTCACAATTGAAATCACAATAAAGTGGGAGCCAGCACAACATGTCAACACGAACATGGCAGCACAAAAACAATTATTTGGGGACGTGACTGAGGCTGAGCGTGCAAGTTTTGTTCAATGTTCAATCATCAACTGAAATTTCTTTTGCAGGCTGATGTTGAAATTTCTTTCCAAGTGAACAATCTTGAAAAAGCACAAGCATTGGACCCTAGTTGGAAACTGGACCCCCAACTTCTGTGTAGTGGTGAAAATGGAAATGGCACAAAAGTAATAATAAAAAGGAGGTTAGGACCGTTTGGCTTGCTAGTTTTGGCTTCAAAGGGCATGCAAGAATACACTTCAGTGTTCTTTACGATACTTAAAGCAGACAAAAAACACTTGGTGCTCATGTGCAGTGACCAAAGCAGGTATATATATATACGTGTCACTCACTTTTCACTATCCAACACAAATTCTTACCTAACTGCCACTTTTAACCAAAACCTTTCGGGGAATGCTCCGGTGCCCTCTTATTTGAAGGGGTTTTGGTGCCCCTCAGTACAAAAGTTGGGTTTTTAGGGGCAATAAGGTAAATTGATAAATTGATCAATTTACCTTATTGCCCCTAAAAACTCAACTTTTGTACTGAGGGGCACCAAAACCCCTTCAAATAAGAGGGCACCGGAGCAATAGCCAAACCTTTCATAGGTCTTCTTTGAATCTCAAGAACGATTTGACCACTTACGGGGCTTTTCTGGACGTGGACCCTCTTCATGAGAACTTGTCACTAAGAAGCTTGGTGAGTTGTGTAATGATTAAAGTATGAAACCATGCATATAAGATGAAGAAACACAAATAAGTGAAAGGGAAAGTAAAAGACCATCATTCCTTTTATATATTCTCTTTATATAAAGGGAAAAAAAAAATTGGTGTACCCATTATTATTAACCATTTTAACTTTTAAAAAATTACACAAAAATAATTAATAAAGATTATAAAAGTCTTTTAATGTAAGTTTTTTTTTCTTCTGAATATCTTAATAACTACCTATTATCTTCACTAGTGTGCGTATTTAAAGAAAAGTATGAAGTGTCTTTTTGTATATAAAGAAAATTAAGTCGGTTTTATCTTATGCACCATTCTAAAAATAACTTTTACAATTAGAAGTTTTAGTTTTGGTTTAAAGTATCGTTATTAGTTTTTTTAAGGAAAAAAATGTGTTTGTACTTTCATATCCAAGTCTTCAAAGTTTTTTTAAAAAATGCGTAGATTTGGTACCTTCTCTCTCTAAGAATTCATTATATTTTTTTTAAATAAGGAGAAATTAAATCTGCATGTTATTTTTTTGAAGTTTAATTAAAGGTCAAACAAATCAATATATAGACCTTGATCACATGTTTAATTGGAAGTATACGAATTAATTTTTTTTTTCCGCTTTTGGATACTCCTAATTCGATTTTTGTTTGTATTAAAATAATATTTGTTGTAACTTATTTGCCTAACAAAGCCACACCCCCAAAAGCCTAACTTTGGGTCATTGCATGGATGATGTACATGAAAAAAAAAAGTTGATGGTCATTTAAATGTTAAGTAAATAAATAAATTGTAACTTATTTACGTTTAATTTATATAACTTGAATTTTGAATCGTTTAAATAACAAAATACATCTTCGTGTTTGAGTTTATTAATTTAACTAAATAAATAGAAATTTGAGTAAAAATTTTAAAAAGCCGAGTTCAAATAAATAGTTCAGTTCATTTAATTAATATCCTTAATCTCAATAATAAAAAAATTTATGCTTTATAGATATTTAACATTTATAATGTTATACTATAAAATCAAGTAGTACACATTAAGTGATATATGTTAAGAATCTCACGACTCTATACTTGCACAGATAGATCACTCCGTAGTGGAGAGTTTCGGGGGAAAAGGAAAAGCAAACATCGCGGCAAGAGTTTATCCCACGTTGGCAATCAATGATGAAGCACACTTGCATGTATTCAACAATGGAACATTCGATGTCAAGATCACAAAACTAAGAGCTTGGAGCATGAAAAAACCAAAGATAAATTGAAATAAAGAATAAAAAAGTGATCCCTAACCTATATATGTGTATGTGTTTAATATCATCATCAAATAATACAGTGATTTAGATCAGTTAAATTTGTATTATATAAAAAAAAATATTTAATATGTTATTTTATTAATTTCGCACTATTAGTCAATTAATCCCTGATCATATATATATATATATATGAGAAATGATTCACTTACTTTAAGAATAAATCTATCTTATTCCATTCAATAACTTATATTTTACATCAAATTTTTTAAATATCCAAACATTAATTAGTAAGAGAGAATGATGGGAGTAAGAGGTTGTGCGTAGAGTATCATCAATTGAGCAAGGTGACAATAAAAACAAGTGTCCTTTGCCCAAGATAGATAATCTTATGGACCAGTTAGCGAGAACCTGTGTATTCAATAAGATAAGTGTGACACATGTTCTACCCCAACATATAATAATAGAATAAAAGGAGAAAATTATTAATAATTATGATAAAACGGTTCACATGTGAAACACTTTCAAACATTCAGTCAATTTGAAACAAATTATAAAATATAAGTTTATAATTACGACTAACAAGAACAATAAATCCAAATAAAATAAGATTTTCAATCTAAGTCTCTTACCTCAATGTCACACTATTAGAGCAACCCTTAACTTCAATTGTCGGCACCTTGAGTGCCACCCACATCTAGTTCATCCTCATCTAAAACAACCAAAATACCACGGTGAGAAAAACGAGCATTCACATACAAGTTATAAGAAGGAATTCCATACATTAGAACTCATTCACTAGTGGAAAAAAGACTTTTAAAATCGGTTATTTTTGACTTTTAAAATCGGTTCTTTAACCGATCTTGAAAGAGCCGATTTTAAAAGTTAGACTTTTAAAATCGGTTAAACAACCGATTTTAAAAGTGAACTTTTAAAATCGGTTGTTTTATAACCGATTTTAAAAGTCTGGATGTGTAAAAAAATTAAACTGGAACGGGCCGTTCCAGTCTGATCGAAAAGGCCTAAAAGGTCACTTGGAGAACAACCCGTTCTCCAAGCAGAACGGCCTGTTCTGCAAGGAGAACGGCCCGTCTCCAAGCAGAACGGCCGTTCTCCTTGAAGACGGGGCGTTCTGCTAGGAGAACGGGCCGTTCTCCTTTCAGAATGGGGCGTTCTGCTTGGAGAACGGGTCATTCTCCTTGC